GCATAGCAATGAAGACCCAGCACAGCCAAAAATAAATAAATAAATAGTAAAAATATAAAAATAAAGTTGTTGTTGCTTTTTTTAAATACCATTTAAGCACTTTCGGCTCACAAAGCGTTTTCACATACATTAAGGTATTTGCTCGTGATGGAATCCCTGGATAAAAGAGATCATTATCATTTGGATTTCAGACAGGGAAGCGCAACTCAGAGATATGTTCAAAGTCCCCCACCTGGGATTATAATCACTGGAGGCACGACTGGTCATGTGTCTCAGGCCCCCACATCCTGCAATGCTTTTGCAGGTGGCCTCATGAATTACAGCCAGTCTCCCCGTCTCACTCAGCCTTCTCTGTCTGTCTTGTGCTATGCTCACATGCTGACCGAGAGGGTGAGCCTTGATCTCCGAGGCCAAATAAATTGCAGACAGTCTTCGTGAAGGCCGGAGATGCCTTTCTTGAGACTGTAGTTTTAGCATCGAATACCCAGCCAAGTACTGTAACCCTGTGCCAGTGAGTGAAACGCTGGGGCATTCCCAGGCCCAGGAAAGGGCTGGTCAGAAGGGGCTGGGCTGGAGTCCAGCTAAGCAGGGAGGCCTGGCAGCTGGCACAGGGCAGGGAGGCACAGACAGGGTCAGGCTTGGGGCCGTAACTAAGGCAGTGACGTTGATATGAGCCGACCTGGTCTGCTGCCCAGGGGTCAGAGGCTTGCTCAGACAGGCCAGAGGGGGCAGAGGGGAGGAAAACAAGGCTGCTTGCTCTCTGACCCATCTCCCACCCCCTCAACCCTGCCCCACCCCTGCCAAGGGTGGGCAGCTGCAAGCCTGAAGATGCTGGCCCTAGAGTGAGTGAGGGTGGTCGTGGCCTGCAGGTGGGAGCAGCAGGATGCCCACCCAGTGGCCAACCACATCTGTTCGGTCCTTTCATTATAACATTTTTTCCTCTGATTACTAAAGTACCTTGTGTTCACAATAAAAAAAAAATTGAAGGCTACAAAAAAAAAAACCCACATAAACACAAAATAAAAAGCACCCATAATGCTCTTTTTTAACTGTATAAAGGACAAAAGGTAAAAAGTAAATACCCTCATCTCCCTGCTCCTAACTGTCCCCTCCCCCACACACCCAGGGGTCATCACTGATGGCAGGCTGATAATGTTTGGCAAGGCTCCTTCTCTTCTTTTTCTTTTGGAGAGAAGCGGGTAGTGATTTTCCCAAGAAGTGAAACAAAAACTTAGTTACTGTTTTGACCGACAACATAAACATTTGATTTTAATTCCTTTGAAATATGTTGGCGATAAGGGCCTCTTTCTGGGAAGTGTCCTGGTTCTGTCCACCCTGGACACCTGTAGTCCCTGCTCACCTCTGGCCGCCTCTACCACCTCCCTGCGAGGAAAACCAGGAAAGAAGTCCTCTGGGGGCGGATTTCAAGGCAACTAGGAGTCTTCCTGCCTCCAAATACTTCTCTATTAAGTCACTGATACTCGAAATTCCACCATTAGGACATTATACCTTTAACAGAAAGCTTCATTTTCCCTGAAAATACAACTCCCTCATGAGAGCTGCGAATCCTTTAAGAGTATGGAATACAAAATGAGTTTTAAATTTCTTTCCTGAGGACAGAGTTTTGCTTTTGTTTTTAGTTTTAAAGATATTAACATTTCTTCCCCCACTCCTTGATAATAAAAGTAACACATTTGTCGTGGAAAATGTGCAAAAAGAGAAAAGCGTAAATGAGAAAGCAAAACAAAATTTGCTTTAGAATATCACACGGAGATAACAAAGCTAACATTTTTATATAAAAATCTTCTGCTCTTTTAAAATTTTATTTTTGGCCGCATCACAAGGCTTGTGGGGTTTAGTTCCCCAACCAGGGATCGAACCCTCTCCCCTTGCTGTGGAAGCATGGAGTCCTAACCACTGGACTGCCAGGGTCTTTTTTCTATGTGATTTATACATGTGTAGATAAACGTACACAAACACATTCCCACACACACATACAAATAATGCCAGATGGGCACTTTCTTTTAATATTACACCACGTCATTAAATTTTCTTTGACACCGTAATCTAACATATACAGGCACACTGTCATATCAATATACCCAAATAGGGAACTAGTTCCCCCACTGCTAGACAATAAACTGGGGCTAATTTTTTCTCTATGCTATCCAACACCGCAGTGACCATTCTTGTGCAGAAATGCTGCAGGCAGTTTTTAATCATGGGATTAGGGCACACACAGACATGCCCGTGTCTGGGGGAAGAGGCCACTGAGAAGAGAGTGTCGTCCACTGAAAACCTGTGGAAGGTGGAGACCGAGGACACCACAATCTTTCACAGGCTGCGCGGTGTGTCCTGAGGCTGGCCCTCCCCGAGGGGCCCACGAGGTGTGGGCAGGAAGGTGCTGCTTGCTGGCCGGATTAACAACCTCAGCGCTGTGCTCTCGCCATAAAAATAGCTCGCGTCCTGCGATGGACAGTCCGCGCTACCGTCTCTGAGGGCAAGCCGTGCCCACAGCCCCCACAGGCGCTACCTGGCACCGCTGGGGTATAGGAGCCCACACCCCGGCCACGGCGGCCCAGGCCAAGGCTCGGCCTGACACAAAGGCAGCCCTTCACAGGCTGGGTGTGCAGGAGGGCCGGACCAGAGGGCCCTCCCAGCATTAAAACTCTGCCCAGTGGGGACCGTCTCTGTTGGACAGTGGCTCACCAAGCCAGCGTGCTCACCAGGATGCTTGGAAACCAGACCAGCGCTAAGTGGTCAGAAGGCGAGGGATCTGTGGGGAGAAGGGAGCGGGCAGGGACCAGGAGACAGAGACGAGCTCATAGTCGGGTTTGGCACACAGGCACCCGAGGACTCCAGAATGAGGACTCGGTTGTCCCCGAGGGCTGCTGTTTGCCTGCTGAGACCCCTCCTGGGCTACCACACAGCCTGACCGTCAAGGCTGGAAGTCACCAGAGTTGGTCTGTGTCCCCTGCAGGCTGCAGGAGTCTTACCCCACCCATATGTGGTATTCTACAGCTTACAGGACACTTCCCTAGGCTTTCTCTTGTCACAACAACTGTGGGAGGGAGAGTAGCTTATTCCCATTTTATAGATGAGGAAATTGATATTCAGAGAGGATCTGAGTCTAATGGCAGGTTAGGGAGCTCAGAGAGAGCTCTGCTGACTCCATATCCACACTGTTCTCTCCACACCAAGTGGCCCCCTGCTCCCTCCCCAGGGATGGCCTCACTGCACTGCAGTGCTGCTGTCTGGAGTCCTCTCTCTGAAGGTGAACGAGCCTGAGTTGGTGCCGTGTGTTTCAACTTGTCTATTCAACTCATTGTAATGCATGACGACTGGGTTTGCAGGTTTTCTTGTCCATAGTGCTCAGCACTTGCGAGGATACAGTAGGTGCTCAATACGTGCTGATGGTTCCAAATGCAGTTTTTCAAAATGCAGAGGCCCACATCCCTCCTCAGAGTACAAAACAGGACTCTGGGCAGCTCTAAAAATTCCCCTGGAAGTCTGATCACATTCCAGGTTGAATATCAGGTATAGAAGATGTTTAATCAGCCCCCTCAACCCTCAGAAAAACAACCATGACCCAGGTAATAAGCAAAACTATGTAAGTGAGCAATCAAACTGAATCTCATAAATGTTATGCACAAAAGTTGAAACATATTTATCTTAAAAAAACACCTGCTCTAGCCTCACTCTGCACCTCCAGACCCTTACTTTACACATTCTTCTAACAAGGTTGGTCACTTGGTTTCTCAGCCCACGGTTTATTGGAAGCACACACAGAAATAGCTGTGAGAAATAAAGCTGCGGCAAACATCAGTAATTCTAATAGTGGTCTTGAGTTATCAAGAAAAGGTCAACTTACAGCAGGAAGATGTACAATCCATTTTAGAAAGATCTTCTAAAGAAAATCAGTTTCGATGTTTAAAGGGGAGGGTTTCAGTTACCCTGAAAATTGACCATGTGCCAAAAAGGAGCCTGACCCTCCCCTCTCATATTGTCAATCCTGCCTGCAATGATTGTCTCATCACACCACATTGACAGGGTCCAGCTCTCCAGGTTGTACGTTGTGTAGTAGCTAAGAGTGTGAACTCTGGAGACAGGCTCATCGGGTTCAAATTCTGACTCTGCAACTTAGGAGCTGTGTGACCTTAGGCAAGTTACCTAATCTCTCCATGTTTGTTTCTTCATCTGTCAAATGAGGATAATTATAGCACCCACCTCTGGATCAGGTACATAGAAAACTCTTCTACAATGGGAGCAATAACAGCCGCAATTGAATCTCTTCTTTTAAATCAATTCACTTATTATTTACTTATTTATTTGGCCGCGTCGGGTCTCAGCTGAAGCAGGTGGGATCTTCGTTGCGTCATGCGGATTTTTTGTTATGGCACGCGGGCTCTCCAGTCACAGTTCGTGGGCTTAGGTGCTCTGTGGCATGTGGAATCTTAGTTCCCCAACCAGGGATCGAACTTGAGCTCCCTGCTTTGCAAGACAGATCCTTAAGCACTGGACCACCAGGGAAGTCCTGCTGGGATTGCATATTACTTAACTCTGTGTCCCCACCTCTCCCTAAGCCCCCTACTCTTCAAAGTGGGCTCTGACAGCAACTGGGAGTTGGACAGGAATGTTGACTATCGCATGCAGACCTATTCAGAGTCAGCATCTTAAGATTTCACGTGCACATCAAAGTATGAGAAGCCCTGGGTGAATCCTGTCGGATGACTGAAACTAGGCATTAGTATATACAGAAATTCCAGGAGCGTCAGAAAGACAGAAACAGGGAGCGGGGGCGGTGGTCGGGGGACTAGCTCCTGAGGAAACCGAGGAACTAGACGCAAAGGAGAAAGCGCGGGCAGCCACTCTCCCAGCTGGATGACCTTGGGTCTCAGTACCCTCATGCGGGAGACGGAGGACCGCCCGCCTTACAGGGCTCTGACCAGGATGAGAGATGGACACACAGGTTAAGCGCTTGCATACAGCGGGTTGTCATTATGCAGGCTCACGGCTCCTCACCCGAAGCCCTGGGGCCAGACGCCTGTGGGTTTTCGGAGCTTTCCTGATTTCAGAAAGGTCACATGACACGGGTGCTGACGCTACAGAACACCCAGCAGGGTCTGGACAGCACCCTCAATTAAACACGGCAAAGCTTTTGCGGCAAGATGTATGAGCAGTAAGAGACATAATAAAGACTTTAAATAGCCTCACATCAGGGCAGACCAACTTCGTAGCCAAATCAGTTTATATCAAACCTATTTTTTTTTAAGGTCTGATTTTCAGAGCTTTTGGATTCCAGAATTGTAGACAAGGGAGTGTGAGCCGGAATGACAGAGGAGGGGGGCAGCCCTGGGCCAGGCTCGGAGGGGCATGCAGGAGAAGGGCTGAGTGGCTGTTTAACGCAGCAGTGAGCCCACAGGCAGGAGAGGGCAGAAAGCAAGACGTCAAAGGTCTTGGAGACAAGAGGGACACTGACACATGGATGGTAGGAAGTCGCCAAGGTTAGGGCCTGAGCAGGAGTGTGACTTAAATCAAAGACAGAGCAACAAGTTGGTCAGGCTTGCAAGCAGATGGGAACAGGGCATCTTGGCTCCGGGGAAGTTCCCAGCACAGAATCAAGAGTAGGTTCACCCCTACTCCCCATCCACCACGCTCTCCCAACCACCCAAAAACACAGAGGAGAGGTTTTCATAATTCTATCACACTGTCAGGGCAGCCCGTAGGGTCTTATCAATTACATAGGCACAATTAAAATGATCACCATATGAACAAAAGTAAACATAATAAGAGCTCCAGTGTGTCGCTTGCAATGAACCTATTGTCTCCAGTTCTTACAGTAGCTTTCTAAGGCATTAGTTATTGTTCCATTTTACAGAGGAGAACACTGAGGCTCAGGTAGCCCTAGAAAGTCCAGGGTCACGTGGTTGGTTCATCTAATACCAGTACCTGAGTGCCTTCTACTACACCACATGCTCACAGGATGACTGAGGCCAAGGCAAGAAAGGGGCCAGCTGGGAGGATGAAATCTGGGAGAGAGGGCAGTTCCTACAGCCTCAGAGGTCTTTGATGTAGACTTAGGCTCTGCCCTCTACCTTTCTTAATCCTTATTTATGCCTTGGATGTATCTCTTGTAAACCCCAGAGAGTCAGGCTCTGTCCTCTACCCACTCTGACAATCTTTATCTTTTAGCAGGAACATTTCATCCACTTGTATTTAATGTAATTGTAAATATGTGTTCATATGTGTGTGCTCAGTCATTCAGTCGTGTCTGACTCTTTTCAACCCTATGGACTGTAGCCCGCCAGGCTCCTCTGTCCATGGGATTCTCCAGGCAAGAATACTAGAGAGGGTTGCCATTTCCTCCTCCGGGGGATCTTCCCAACCCAGGGATCAAACGCACATATCCTGTGTCTCCTGCATTGGCAGGTGGATTCTTTACCACTGCGCTACCTGGCAAGATCCAGTTGTGACTATATTTAGGATTAAATCTATTTTTCTAGTGGTTCCATCAGTCCTGTATTCTTTTTTCCCTCTTTATATATATTGCAATTGAATGCTTCCCTTCTATTATTTTGGAAGTTATTCTACTTTCTCAGTTTGGCCCTCCTTTCAATATTTCAAGGGTTATATGATATATACATATTTTGTACCATTAGTCCAATAGCTTGAGATGATCTTCTAAAAACAAGATAGGACTTAGGCCTGGGTTAGAATCCTGGCTTTAGAACTTTTAAACTGTGTGCTCCTTTCCAGCTGCTTTTCCGTAAATCTCGGTTTGTGAAATGCGGGTTGATGGAACTCATCATTCAGCTTATTGCGTCACTTCAGTGAACTGAGGGGTGCCAAAGGCCCTCCCCAGGGCTTGGCACAGAGAAAGGGTCCAGTGTTCAGCTCTCCACTCTGGACTTTGCCTCTCTGCATCCCAGAGGAACTGGCCCCGGATGGAGGCTGCTCAAGAGCCTGGTTGCACAGCTGGGTTTGACCGTAGAAAGCCTTCCCGGAAGGAATCCCTCTGGAATAAGATGTTCCCAGGGTGCAGCCAGTCTGCAGCATCATCAGTGGACAGCACCACCTCAGTCTGGGAAGTGGGAGGCTGTTGGGAAATTCTGCTGAAACAGGGCGGGGGACGGGTTGCCCTGATCAGTGTCCCAGGGGAGCCCAGGGAAGGGAGGGGGGCTCCCCAACAGTGTGTCTCTCTCTAATCCGGCCAGGGAAGCAGGGGGCTGACCGGCAAGCAGCAGCTTCCCCTCCTGGGAGGCAGGTGTGTCCTCTCAGAGAGCAGAGCCATGACTCACCAGACTGCCATGGCTTGTTATAAATATCCCCCGAGACACCTAACTCCCTCGGCCCTATTCTATATTAGCACAAGTGTCGCTCCATAATTCCATAATTAATTAGGTTTCCTAGGCACCTGGAGACTGGGAGAGGGTGTCCCAATCTGTGGACACAAATATTAAGAACTACAATGGCAGGTCCCTGCCCAAAATGTGAATTGAAAAATAAGTCTTTTTCTGTCTTATCTATTTCTTTGTTGACCAATTAGCAGTGGGTGAATTTTGAGAAGTGAGGGCGGCCACATGTCGCCTGCACAAATAATTCTTTTTTGTTGTTGTTTTTTGGCAGTACTGCATGGCTTGTGGAATCTTAGTTCCCCAAGCAGGCGTTGCACCCAGGCTCTAGGCAGTGAGAGCACAGAGTCCTAAGTAGTGGACCATTAGGGAATCCCCTGAAATAATTCTAAAATGTTCTAGGTGGATCCAGTAACCCAAACCAACCTCCCTCTCATTTACTTAACCTATTTGGGGAAACTGAGGCCCAGAGAGGAAAATGAGCAGCCAGATCTGGAAACAAAGGGAGGAGGAGCTGGGCGGGAACTCAGGGCTCCTCTTTTGAGTCAACCCGCACAATCTTGATTTCCTCACATGTGAACATAGGTATCAGTACCTAGTACCTACTCTGAAGACTGTCAGGAGCACTGAACGTAAGACGGGTGATGGGGCTAGTGTGCAAGAACCCAGAACACTGAGGGGCGGGGGGATGGGGTCCCTCTACCTGATCCCTCTATCTCTCTCTGCTTCCTTGAATTACACTCGGCAGATGGACACATGGTCTTGATGACATGATTAGAAGGCGGATTTTAGTGGCTTCCCTGGTGGTCCAGTAGTTAAGAGTCTGCCTTGCAATGGAAGGGACACCGGTTCAATCCCTGGTCTGGGAAGATCCCACATGCTGTCGAGCAACTAAACTCGTGGGCCACAACTACTAAGCCTGAGCTCTAGAAACTGCCACAGTGAGAAGCCCTAAGACCACAGCAAAAAGCAGTCCCTGCTCTCTGCACCTAGAAAAAGCCCCAGTGCAGCAACAAAGACCCACCGCAGTCAAAAAACAAATAAAACAAATAAATCTTTTTAAAAATTGGATTTTACCTTTAGACACTCTAGGTAAAATCCAATATAATAACAAAGACACTATTTACTAAATACCTACTATGTGCTAGACACCAGTCTTCATATATTATCATTTTATTTCTTTAAATCTGAGCTGTCCAGCATTGAAGTCACTAGCCATACATGACTATTGAGCACTTGAAAAGTGGCTAGCGCAATTAAGGAACTAAATTTTTATTTTAACTCAGTTTTAATTCAGTTATCAGAAAACTTTCAAGTATGTTTGGAGCAACTTTGGTATGTGAATGTACTGTTTCAACTATATGTTTTGTGGAAGTCTTACTACATAGCAAGCAAAAAAATTTTCTCTAAATTAAAATGTGCTATAAGATCCACACTGACTTCAAAGATTTAGTATTTTTAAAATGTCAACTATCTCATTCATAATGTCTTTTATATTGATTAATGCTGCTATGACAATCTTTTGGATACACTGGCCTAAAATACATTATTAAAATTAACTTTACCTGCTTTTTTAATTTAATTTTTTAATTTGAATTTTTATTTATTCATTGATTTTTTATCTTGACATGAGGCTTGTGGGAACCCAGATTCCCTGCAGTGGAGGCGAGCAGCCCTAACCACTGTACCACCAGAGAATTCCCTGACTTGTTTTTTTTTTTTAATGTAGCTAGTAGAAAGTGTAAAATTACATTTGATTGAGAAAACTAGTACAATCTGAATAAAGTTGATATGCCATTGTTAATTTCTTAGTTTTGGCAAATGTACCATGGTTACGCAAGATGTTGACCTTAGGAGAAGCTGGGTGAAGAGTTTACTGGAACTCCCTGTATAATTTTTGCAACTTTCCTGTAAATCTAAAATGCTTCCAAAATGAAAGTGTAAAATACCCTCTCCCATTACATGTGTGTTGACGTTATATTTCTATTGGAGAAATATACAATAGAATTATATTTTTATCACAGAGCTTAAAACACTTCTCAGGGCTTCTCTGGTGGCTCAGTGGTAAAGAATCCGCCTGCAAATGTGGAAGACGTGGGTTCAACCCCTGATCTGGGAAGATCCCACATACTGTGGAGCACTTGAGCCTGTGCACCACAACTATTGAGCCTGTATTCTAGAGCCCGGGAGCTGTAACTACTGAGCCCGCGCACCCGGAGCCCGCGCCCCGCAAGAAGCCCCTGCAGTGGGAAGCCCACACACTGCCGCTAAAGAGTGGTCCCCACTCACGGCAGCTAGAGAAAAGCCTGAGCCGCAAAGAAAAGCCAGCACAGCCAAAAATAAATAAATAAAATTTAAGACAAACAGTTCTCTAAAAGATACTATCCTCATCCCACGGCTGAAAAAAAACCCAGCGCTCAGAGAGGTTAGTCAGCAGGATCTGGGACCGTGTCTGTTGGGTTTGAAGCCCTTGAACTTTCTGCTGTTCTCCTTGGCTTCCGCTCCTACACCTGGCACCCACCAGGGCTTTCTGAGGATTCCTCCGAGGGTACTCGTGCGGGCACGTGGACCCATGGGTAAGCCACTCTCTGCGGTGGGTGAGAGGCGGCGGAGAGAGGGAGAGCAGAAGCAGAATTTGGGGGTTCCTGGGGCGGAGGGACTGTCCAGGTGGGAGCCAAGATCCGGGGCCCTAGGACAAAGGGGAGGAGTTACAACTGATCTGATAGATCTTCTGTTTTATTGACTGGCTGTTTTCTTTGATCTCTGCCTTGTTTTGGAAAGGACACCAGGAGTCTCTGCCTCTGTCTCAAGGGAAGAACGAGCAAGGCTGCTCAAGACTTGGCTGAGCTGGCCCCAAAGGGGCAAGTAATGGCACACAGGGACAGAGCCAGGTACCTGGGCGTGTCCTGGACAAGGCAATGGGGGTGCTGTTTCCATCTTGTCTCCCTGCACCCCCCTCCCTTCTCATACAGTAATGATGTAGAAGACCCTGCCTCCGGACCTGAGACCCCAAGGCTCAGCCACTGAGAGCCTAGGCAGTCCCCATTCCTATCCATTTCTGCTTTGCAGTGGGGTCTGAAGCTGCCCTGGCAAGCTCCCCTGGGGAATCCAGCTCCAGGCCGCCCAAGGGCAGCCTGCCCGGATTAGAGCCCCCGCCTCTCCTCTAGGCCTGTCCGGCTCAGTCTGGGAGGTCACAGGGGCCCCCTGGCTCTACCAGCGCCGAGGGAGCGTCTCGGCCCGGCGGGGGCGGGGCGCGGCGCGGGCCACCAGCCCGCAGTGTACTGTACTGTCTGCGGCCAGCCGCCCACCACCTTCCCACGTCCAGATGCGCTCCGGGCGGCCCTGTCCTGACGTGCCCCTTCCCCTCTGCTGCCCTGACGCGCACTCCGCCGCGCGGCGGCCAGATGTGCGGGCTTTGGTGCCGGCGGCTCTTAATGAGGTCCAGATGTTTGGCCTGGCCCGGGCCGGCGGCGGCGGCGGCTACCAAAGGCGACGGAGGCCCTGGGAGGGAGGAGCCGGGCTGCAGCTGGACGCGCGCGGTGCTGGAGGAGGAATGCGCCGGGAAGAATCCCTGCTGGAATGCGGGCTCGGGTGGCTCTGCCTAAATAAGGACCTGGCCTCGCCGCCAGCCGCCAGCCAAGCTGGACGCTCAGCTCCTCCAGGTGGGGCAGCGCCCTGCACGGGCCTTCAGCCATCACTCCGTCTTCTTAACAATTTTTTTTTTCTTTTGTAACTCATTATAAAAACTACACACAGCAAAGAAAGGCAGTTTAGAAAACCCAAATCAATGAACAGATGAAGATTGAAATCACCAATAATCTCGCCACCCCAACCACCCTTGCCTTTCTGGGATGTGTCCAGCTAGACTTTTTCTATCTGTATATAGACCATCAGTTGGTTTGTGAGATTGAATCATCCTGCAGAAACTCTCAGAACCTGCATTTTTCAGCCAGCTCTTCCCATGCGAGTCTGCTATAACCAGCGTTCCCCAAACTGGTCCCACAGAGCACCATGGCCATTTTTCTTTCCATAGGTGTGTCTTTCCCTGACTGTTTGGGACGCACTGGCTCACGCCAGTTTAAATGGGCTTCTTTCCTGGAGGACTTCTCAAGAGTCTTTAATTTACTAATGTGTATTCTGAATCATCAGGAGGAGACTGGCATTTCTTAGACATATTTCACTGTGAAGTCCCTTGAGGGATCCTCCTGGGGCTTGGGTCTGTGGAGCCTCAGATAGGAAGTACTGTTCTGTGACATTCTTCGTCATGGCTGCACGGAAACCAGCTTCGCGTGGACACCATCATTTATCCCAGCATCCGTCATGGGGTGGGCATTATGGTTGCTGTCAACTACTATTAAAAATAACTCCGTGATGACCATCTTCTTACTTTCCCACTTTGTTGTAAAGAAACATTCCAAAAAGCAGGACTGTTGTCCATGGGAAAGACCATTTCTAACTCTCAGGTTCTAGGGTGCTGGTGGCTCTTGCCCAAGCCCCTCATCCAGCCCTTATATGGTGGGGAAGGGTTTTACCCCACTCCCACAACAGCGGGCATCTGAGAGGATGAGGGTGGGATCTGCAAATCTTATTTATTTATTTAAAATATTTATTTATTTGGCTGCCCTGGATCTTAATTGTGGCATGCTGGATCTAGTTCCCTGACCAGGGATTGAACCCCGGGCCCCCTGCATTGGCAGCACAGAGTCTTAGCCACTGGACCACCAGGGAAGTCCCTGTAAATCTTTAGCTTAAGCAATTCTTGAGCACTTGTAGGCATTGAGCCTTGGGGACTATAATGAAAAATAACTTTTCTTGGGCTATTATCAACATCTGTTAACAAGCAACTATTTTCCAAAGAACTATTGCAAGCAGAGAGTAAAACCACATTGAGGGGTGCAGAGAACACGTTAGTGGGTCACCCATGAGGCCATACAGCCCCGGAGCACCCCTGGGTGCCTAGCAGGTAGAATGACAACCCCTAACATACTGCTACTTAAGGTGCTGAGTGCGGGCTGCCTGTGAGATGGGGAACACAGTATGCACGTTGTGAGCATAATCCAGACCTGTGCAAGCCTGGCCACTGACGTCTTCCTCCATACTATTCCCTTTAATCCTCACAACATCCTGTAAAGTAGGGAGTAGGAGACCTAGTGAGTCATTCTACAAATGAGGAAGCTGAGACTCAGGGCAGAGCACTGGTCCAAGGTCGCACAACTAAGTGGTGGGGGAGATGGGACTTCCCTGGTGGTCCAGTGGTTACAACTCTGAGCTTCCACTGTGGGGGGGCACAGGTTCAGGCCCCAGCCAGGTAACTAAGATCCCCCATGCCATATGGCATGGCCAAAAAAAAAGCGGGGCATATTGGCCAGCAATGCCACTCCACACCTCTGAGCAACACATCACCTTAGTGGCTGCACGCCACTGTCAGCCAAGAAAGCCTTCCTTCCTTTCGATTGGTCTTTATCAACATGGGACCTAGGACTCGAGCATTCTGATAGGAGGATAGGGGAAAGCCCAAAAGGTTTAGAGCCTGAGGCCTGCATTGTGAGGTCACTCCTGGGGTATGTGTGTGTGTTTCCTTTAGTGGTGGAGAGTGGAGGAATGGGGAACCCCTCAGAGGGGTACAATGTAGCTCCCACAGGCTTATAGGCAGGGAGAAGTTCTTACTCGTCTTTGCACCCTCAGCCCTGGACAGAAAGTAAATGTTCCATGTAGGCTCCTAAACTCAAGACATAACCCCCAACCCCAGGGAGAAACTCTCCTGGGCTCAGACCCACACAGTATACACAGGGGGCAGGAGGGATCCTGTGTGTATTTTCTTCTTGGCTCCCCTCACACTCATCCCTAACTCCAGCCCTAAATTCTCCTCCTTCCCCCTCCTTCTCCGCACCTCAGCCTCTGTGTATGTTTGCCCCCTCTCACACCTCACCTGATAGTCACTGAGAGCCTGTCATCAGAGACGCAGTCTGTTAGACAGCCAGCTCCAAGCAGAGCCGCTCTAACTAAGCACCACTTTGACCCTAAAGGGCACCCTCTAACTGAGCTCTAAGCCTTATTTGTGTAGATTTCTTTTGAGAATCTAAGCAAAGACAGAGATCTCAGAAAAATACCCAAGACACACGCTTCTTCAGCTTCGGAAGCTCATGTGTGGACACTCCAACAGCCCTAGCCAAGAAAGTCTGCTTCTGATGGACCTGGCTTGGTGCACACTTCCAGGGGCTGGGAGAAGCTGCTTTCTCTAACCTTCTATCAGCCCTGGAACCGGGCGCTTGCCTCCCATAGAGCCAATGCTCTTCGGGAACTAACAGGTTCACTATTCTTTTTCTCTGTTCAAAAACCCCAAACCTCTGAAGACGTTTTATCATAAGGCATTTGACTGCAAAGCCTGACCCGATGTGAACTTCTTTGGCTGAAAAGCCAACCTCAACTGAGGTGGGGGGCTATTTACAGCCTTTATTTACACTACTTAGTGTGTGAATATTCATAGACTTTGCTCAGAAATGTTTGTATGCTTACCCAGTGCTGCCTTAGACCCTGCTGGGGACATTTTATAATATATACAGTGTAAGTGATCTCATCAAGCCACCTTTCTAAACTATGAAAAATCCCGCATTTCCGAAACCTATCAGGCCCCAGTGGTCTTAGACAAAGGATTATGGATCTGTATTCATAAAATTTTCCTTAAAAAGTTCATGGACTTATGAATGAAAGAAGCCAGACATGGACCATATGTACTATATGATCCCATTTGTATGAAGTTAAGAAACAGGCTAGGACTTCCCTGGTGGGGCAGTAGATAAGAATCTGCCTGCCAATATGAGAGACATGAGTGTCCATCCCTGGTCTGGGAAGATTCCACATGCCGAGGAGCAACCAAGCCCGAGAGCCACAACTAGGGAGCCTGTGTGCTGCAACTACTGAAGCCCGTGTGCCAAGAGCCCGTGCTCTGAAACCAAGAGCATCCCCTGCTAGCCGCAACTAGAGAAAGCCCGAGCACAGCAACAAAGCCCCAGTGCAGCCCAAAATAATAACTAAATAAAAAAAGAACAGCTAAACTGACCACTGTAAAAATCAGAATAGAAATTACCTCTGGGAAGGGGAATTGACCAGGAGGAAGTGTGAGAGAACTCTCTAGGGTATCGGAAGTGTTCTGAATCTTGTTTTGGGTATGCAGGCTACGCAGGTACATACATATGCAGAAATTCACCAAGCTCTACATTAAAGATGAGCGCTTTTTGCTGTAAGTCTGTTACACCTCAAAATAAAAGTAAAAAATTAAATCTATGGGAATATATTATCTCAAATTAAGCAGTAAGAAGCTGCTTGCCTTGGCACCCCATCTCGCCCTGTGATGTCTTTGAACTTTCCAACAAAGCTTAAATTAAAATCATCTTAATATATGTTTGGCTTGTCTTAATCCCAAGAAATGAGTTTAACACAAAAGTCAAATCGAGCGAACATTTTTTTTTTTCTTGAGCTCTTGATTTGCCCTCAAAAAGAATCCATCCCCCTAAAGGGTGTCTTTGCTTTGAAAGTGCCACAGGAAAACACTCAAGGCCTGGCCCCCTTCTGCGAGAACCTTCCACTCACATCACTCGGAGAAGGATGTCTCCGGGCCCTGCCGCCTCTGGGACTGCTGCTCCAACACAACAGCCAGGCGGTGAGCACGAATTCAGGCATCCTACCCAGCGTACTGCCAGTCAGAACTTGCACCCAGCCAGCCATATCCTGTAATTGCCTCTGATTAGCTGGAATTTGGAATTTGCATCTGAGAACAGAAGGGCATCGGGGACTCCTTGATTAAACAAGTGAGATAACCATATATTGCTAAGAGGAACAGAGATCTTTCCCCTTGCTCTCACATTGCTCAACATCTGACTGCTCACGGCCTTGTCCTTTGACACTCACTCCCACAACATCCCCACCTCCGCCTTCCCTCCCACTTCCGATCTGGGCCCCGGAGCTCAGCTCACGGGGGCCTCTTCTCTTTGCTACTCCACTCGTGACCCAGCTCAACCCACACGCCAGCCTTCCCATCTCCAGCCAGAGGGCACTAGGCTCAGGGCCACGGGCCGTCCTCAGCTGCTTCAGATCCTTTCAGGAACCAGTCAGGGTATAAACAAAACAGATCAACCTACTTGGGCTTTTCCCTCATCTTTCTAGAGCAGGCGGCTCAATGGAAAAGTCCGTGCTGTTGGAAGTACTCTCTGCTACGTGGGCCAGAGTGGTAGCCACTAGCTGCGGGTGGCTATTGAATGCCTCTTGTGCTTGACTTAGGAACTGAGTTTTTTTAACTTTTTTTGAAATTTAAATTTAAATACCACATGTGACAGGTAGCCACCATACTGGTCAGTGCAGCTCTAAAGAGGAGGGAGGGTTTGGGGGCCTACCATTCCTTTGACCTCACCCCTAGTGGCCGGAATCTCAGAAAGTGTTCTGCTCTTTGAAAATACCCAGCCCTTGTCTCTTCAACTCTCAGGTCTGTCTTCTCCCAAAATAACTGGGAGCATTTGTGGAACCCCTACAATGCACTGGGTGTTTTGCAAATGTAAACCAGTTATAATGAGTCACCTCAAGTCTTAGAACAGTGTTCAAAAGAAGCTCAGAGGGGCTTCCTTGGTGGTTCAGGGGTTAAGACTCTGTGCTTCCAATGTAGGGGGCC